AACATTATCTCTGACGATGTTAGTGGCACATATTGTTGCAAAAAAGAGGAAGGAATTTGCATCTCTCTATTTGGTTTTGCGCACAATATATGTATGCCGGCCTCAACAAAACCACTTTATCGTCAGAGTTCATATATGTATGTAGTTAGTGGTACTAGGCTTTAAATTGGATCTCTGAATCGATATTTTACTTTATAAAATGAATATTGTTTAACCAATATTTTGATGCTGAATGCTATCGATTATTGTGATCACACAAACAAGAAGAAAACGAGAAGCACGCTCCACTTCGTGTCCGTCTGTCGACGTAAAAGTATCAAACAAACAAAAAAAACTCAATTGAACTTATCCAGTCATTGCAGACTTATAGTCATGCGGCAACCATATTCGCTTTCGCGATAAAATATAAAATTAAAAACAAAGGACAACAAAGCATAAATCCAATTATTGGTACTGTATTGTTGGAAAAAGCTGCGCAAAATCATAAAAGAAAAGTGTGTTCATCGAGAGTACATAACCTCAACAAAAAGTGTTAGAGACACTTGTCGATACACGGAAAGAAATCAATATTCGAGAGTATGTCCTTCACATACGACTCAACCACCAGTATCTGATCAATGCGGCAACATAGCTGCGATCAAACCCTAATCATCCATGCAATGATTTAATCAAAAAAAAAAAAAAGAAACGCTCGGAATAGCAGAATATGTTACAAATTGTGAAAGATATATTAAGATATATAAACGCGCAAATGCGCAACGGAATATTTAAATGAAAAGAAAGCGCGACGGAAATGAATGTTGAATGTTCCACAGGCTCAACAACAACAAGTAAGAGGTAAGAATTACATGTAGCATCAAGCATTTTTATTAAATCAGTTCTCAAACACTCTGTCGACAAATGAGCTCTGATTGAGTCGTTATGCGTGCCCGACTTCATACATATATCGTCTATCGTATACATACATATGTACATGTGTATGTACATAGGTACTTGTACTGTGTTAATTAAAACCCAAATGCGACTTTTAATTGAAATTAACCTGAGTGGAAATCGGCATTGGCCATGCTCGTTTGCACTGAAATCTGGGTGAGGGTTCAAATTGCAATGCATAAATCACAAAATAATCAGACATTTACAGTCATTGTTCGGGTGTGTTCGGTGTGCTGCAAGGGGTGAGAGATATCAATCTCGCAAGCCAATTGTCAATTGAATGCATTACAATACCGAAATCTGGCAAATAGTTCCGTTCCGTTCCGATTCGTATGGCCGATATGGGCGAGGGGCCTAACTGCAAAACCCTCTCCTCTCGGCTGCATAAATACTTAAAATTGTATGTACATTTTGCTGCAGGCTCTCTCAGTCGAGCTCTTCCATTCGCCAGCCCTCCGCAAATTGCACACAATTACAAAATGGTATGCCTGTGTGTGCGATGAAAATTGATTTATCACGCACACAGCATTTACGGTCACGCATCCAACATAAATTTTCATTCACTGTCTTTTTCGGAAGCAGTGGGCCGCACTGTTTTCCCTGTTGCTGCTAGGGTATCTGAGGCGTTGGAAAATTGTTTTGTGCGCAGCATAAATTGCAATCCCATATAGAACCAACAAGGCTTTAGCCGATCCACACACACACATAATCGTAGACGCCGTGTAGGCGGCTCGCGGCCGCAGTGTAAAATAAAATAATGGCACTTTTTATTTTGCTGGGCATTAAATAACAATAAAATTGGAAGAGTATTGCAAAGAGAACGGCAGTATTTACAAGTACTTTGCGGTTAAGCAAGACAGCTCATAAAATATATCTGTACATACATATATTGCGTTGGCTTATATTAATGGCTTACAGAGCATCCCATATTGACATTTTCCGTGGGTAATAACTATGTATGTTATAGTACCGCATGTTTTCTGAGTAACGATTTCATCATTTTGTGTTGTGACGTTCTGTATTTAAGTACATAAAACTCGTTTGACACCCCACTGGCGCATCACATCGATGGCATCGAATTTTGTGCCTGCAACAAACCTTTCTTCATGATAAAAAACAGTGCCTTATATTCTAAAACTCAAGCAAACAAATTCTATGGTGAGTAACCTGAGCATAAGCCCCAAAAACGATGGCCAGCATGCCGCATTCTTGACACTCTGGTAGAAGGGATGATGGTGATGGAAACGGGGACTTATAATTGCACACATTACATGAGAGATTTGCATGCCAAAAATTCATTAGCACTTTAACAATGACAATTGATGTTATACACATTAGGTGCGACCGCCCACTATTATGCCAGTCGTCCCAATACTCCCCGACCGATTACCCACCTCAAAATTCAGTTCAGTATCCTCACAGACGGATATTAGATTACATGCCAGTCGTAATTATTGCTTCCTGAGGTAACAATGCGCATTGCATAATACATTTTGGATGAATGCTTTTGTACGTTGGACTCTGAGTGCATCGATTGGCAATTACAATACATTTAACTGATTCATACGGTCATATTAAATTTCAATTGAAGCAACCAGAGACACAGACAGAGAAAGAAAGTATACGTAGTGCATAAATCACAGAGGAATGGAAAATTAAGTATACGCCACCGATAGACTTCAGTGGACACTTTACTCTGCTTTCGGCCTTCTTCAGTGAATGTCTCCCCAGAGGCCACTAAACAAATTAGCGTTAATTTAATGACAGACATTTTCGCCCTTTTCTTACAGTCCGACACAATTTATAGGTTTCCACAGTAGATGGCAGGCTAGCGGTCTTTTTCCAGCCTTTACTCGACTCCACTGTTAAGCGATGCCGAGACCATAAATTCCATTTGATTTTCTTCCAAAATGTTGTCCTGCAATGTCAGCACCAACTGTTGCGTGGGCGTGGCATGGTCCTGAATGGCAATGATGGCGACGACAATAAACTTGTCTGAAGGAATGTACGATACGAAGCCGATGATGTTGAAATTTATAATTTAAAGCTTCAAATTAATTAAATTTCGCAAATTTGCTAGGAACGGATGAAAAGTTTATAAACTGCTATAAGCTTCTTGAGAAACTCTATAAGATTTATATTTGGATTTTATTAAAAGTATTTCATGGGCAAATTTTGGTTGAAAAATTCATCAAAATATATTGTGAAAGTGCAGTTTAATCGAATTCGCTAATAATTTGACACCCAATGGAATCGATTAACATAATTGAAACTCAGATTTTTATGGAACAGGTTCGTTCTTTCACTTGATTTGAAATCAACGATACAACTGAATTGAATAAAACATTATTCAAAAGACTGTAAACTTTTTGTATCTAAAATGAAAGTCATAAAACTCCATCAGATAATGATCATAAACCCTACATACCATCTTACGTTCTTCTATGTAATCGCTTCAATAGAGAAAACTATAAAAGTTCATGAAATATGAAACAATGATTTTGATTTTGAATCGACTCATGGCCAATAACTGCAGGAATAGCTGCAGGTTCAACTTCCAAAGCGAATTGCCTTCACTCACAATACAGAATATTGCATGAGTATGAGTATATATAGAACGAGAACTATCGAATTGTGCCTGCCGCCAAATGTAGCATCCAAGGTTCTGTGCCACACCCGCCGCCCATAAGCTCTCTGCCCCCACTGCCATGTAAATAATAAATCTGTTGCAATTCTTTGGACAGACAAGCCAGTGGGGCAACATTCCCAGACAGGCAGGCTGACTGCATTTTAGATGCTGCTGTTGCTGCTGCTGTTTCCGCTGCTCTACTGCTCCTGACTACCCTGGCTGATGGTCTACTTAAAAATCGTGACTGGGCTGCAATATTCAAATAATTTGACATGCATATTTTAAACTTTGCTTAGCAGCCAGAAAATTAAATAAAAAAAAACGTACGAAAATTGAAATGCAACGCCACCGCTTTTTCCAACAACAGGAACAACTTTCAATGTCCAAAATTATTTGAAAAAAAAAATAGGAAAAATTCAGAAATATTTATATAAGGGAAAATATAGAAGTTTTTGAAAGCATTTTTTGCACAGGTGTGCTGAAAATTCTTCGCACCTTCTCAGTTTGGCTGTTCCTTAGTTGGGCAGAGAGTTTTCCGCTCAGCTGACAGGGCGAACCATCCACAAATTTCTATTTGCGGGGTGCTGCTACTCTTTGGCTGTTCTTTGTCCTGCTGGAGCTGCTGCTGTGTGTACATAAGTTCTGCTTCCCTTTACAGAAAACTTTTTGCATACAACTAATGTGCACTTCCGCTTTCTGGGCGCCATTTTCTTTTCAGCTTCTGCATCCCCTGCTTAGACTCCTTTGCACCACTCACCGTGCAAAGAAGTTGAGGAAGGACCGAAAAATATGCGTTGTGTACGATATTATTTTGTGCTTCGAACTTTTGTTTGCCAAGAAAGGTATCGCGGGAAGGGAGGCTACTCGTTCAAGTGCTGGATGAGTGCAGAGATGCGTGTATTTATTGGCAAAGTTTGTGCAGCCCTCCAGGTGATATACTCGAATAGGGCTAGCAAAAGAGTTCAATTGGAAACGTTGACGGAACAAATTTATCTGAAAGCATTGAATTTCAATTTCAATTTCATTGAAATTGTTTTTTAATTATCGCCAATGTGAGAAGTAGCGGTCTGGAGTGTGTTGCACTTTAAAATTAATTCATTAAATATTTTTAGAGGGAAAAAGAAATTACACTGCTCGACAAAATCGAACCTTGTTTTCCTCAAGGACTGAAAACGACTTGTTTTAATAGATTTGGGGTCTTAAAATTTCCTTAAAAATGCCTTATGTTTTTTTAGAGGTAGCGCTTCTTTTCTTCTTCGCATAGCTTAAGTACCTTACATTTGCTTGTAAAGAACTTTACCATCTCATCAAACACCTATCAGAAAAAGTGGGTTTGGTTCCTTGAGGAAAAATAATAAAGTAAGAAAGTATATATAAAGTTTTTTACTTTACTAATAATAATAACAGAAAATCAAAGGAATCTTATAATAATAAGCAACACACACACTGACACATCTGGGCAAAGAGATAAAATAAATTATTTTTCGGAAATAACTAACTTATGGAGAACAATGAATAAAAAGTGGGTATAAAATGAGTAAAAATAATAACGATTTGTTGTTCACTGCATTTTAGTTATTCAAAAGTGTGAGAAGCTCGAAAAATATTCCCGGATGCTCACCAGCAGAGTGGCTGTAATAAGAATTTCAAATTTAAAAAAATCCCCCAAATAGAAAAGAGTAGACTGAGTGAGAAGACACTGAGAGAGGATGAGGATGGGCATCGTACAGACACACATATTTGGGGCAAGCAGAGCTTTTTTTTTTAGCTCCTAGCCAGGATTGCAGTAGTTGGTTTGAGATGCAGATAAGCGAACTCAATGAAGATTCAAGCCCATCTCCGGCTCTGTCTCTTATGCATGTTAAACAAAACAATCAAGACACACAATATCCAAGTCCTACTCCCGCCTCTGCCTGCCAAGTCCCCAATGCGGAATGAAGTCGGGACGTGGCCAATACGAGTGTCTGTGTGGTTAGTCAATAAAAATGCTGCCCAAATGGAATTAACACGCACTCGACCAGATCACCAGCTGCAGCAAACGAATCTCAGGTCGGTCTGCATTTTTCCGGCCCGGCCCCTACTCGCCCGCTTCTGCAGCTACTCCGCATTGTCACAAAACACTTTGTCTCACTTAATTTTTTCCCATCCAGGTTTTTTCGTTTGCTTTGCCTCGGCTCTGCTCTGCTTTACTTTTTGTAGTTTCCGTTTTGTCGTTTTCCGTTTTTACTGCCTGCTGTTGCGCTGCGGCAAACAATTTCAATTTAAATTGCCAGCTTTGCTTACCTTTTTGCCGTGCTCTGGGCACACTTATCAGTGTCAATAAAAGTCCAAGGGGAACGCTTCTGCCAAAGGAAGCAGCCCCAAATGGAGAGACAGAAGACGCAAGAAGCAGAGGCAGCTGTGACGCATGCAGCTGAAAAAAGTGCAAGTCGGAGCGGAGAGAGGAGTACGAGTAGATAATGGCCTGGAATAGGCACGGGAGCGAGCTGCTGCCCACATGAATGCTGCTCCAACTTGGGCTTAAAGTGACCGAGCGGAATGTGAAGCGGCTGGTTGGAAAAGTTGATTATGACAGAAACAATGCAGGCGAAAGAGTATGACTGCTATAAATGATTTGCTGGAACAAATTCTAGTGACTGAATTTAGTGAATTGTGACACTGAATGTTTATTTGTGACTTTTAATGACTATTCCCAATTCATGGCTCTGAGTGGTTAGAGAATATATGAAAATAGTTCATAATGAAATGGGGTAAAATTAAATTGCACTGGTGACTGTGAAATGTAAATAATTATGTGAAACACAATTAATTTATATTCACAAATTTAATAAATTAATTCACTCATAAATTTCTTGTCAAATCCAAAAAGAAAGAATAGAAATATCACCAATAAATGAACTAAGAAACTAAGAACTATCATCGCTTATTCTGGCTTGTACGCATTTACTCTTGTCAATATAAAGTTAAATTACTTTAAATATAAAATCGTTAAAATCGATATTAATTTAATGTTAAGAAACCTGCTTAAAATCCCTAGCCGGAACATTTAGGACTGCCAAATTAACTTGCGAGAAATACTGTGTGAAGATTTTTCAACCAAATTCCAAAAATTGTATAACTCACGCAAATAAACTTATGCTGATTTATGCAGACTCTGAGAAGTGTACGACAAAAATATCCCACGCCTCATCGGCAGGCCAGGGCCTGGGAACGAGCTATTTTGTTCTTTGGTTTCTTTCACGCTCCAAGCCCTTCCTTGGCAATGAAATAAAACCTTTGTTATAGCCAAGCTAATAATTGCCAAGACAAGAAACACTCTGTGGGTAGGCGTAGGCCATATGTGGAGAATGGGGGGCTTGTATACTTATGTACGAGTATGTGCTCTGCATGATGTCGCTTAATTAAGCAATGAGCGTCGTGCTCGATAGAGGAGAAACTTGGGCTACATGAGATGGGGAAGCTGAAAATATACTTATGATTTATCGTGTGTGAAAAGTAGGAGATGGAGAGTCGGGTATCTCGAATTTAGACTGCTGGGCGCCAAAAGAGTCTCTAGTAACTTCTTCTCGTATCAAAAACATAAGCGAAATGAATTCATTCTTATGTTAAATTCCAACATGCCCATACTTAGAATTGAGAATTGAGTATCATAAAATTGATCTTTATATAGATAAACCCTGAAGCTTAATTTTTGGTGAGAATAAGGATTTTTCATACAAAAAATAGCTCAGGATGTTGTTAATATTAGAGAATCGGAAACGTAGAATACAAACGTGCGGTGTCTCACTATTTAATTCGATAGTGGGGGAAGTGAGTGTACCCAGGATGGTAGAATGTAATCCGAAATGCGTCTAGCCATGAGAGAAATACAAAAACAACGATAAAGAGTTAAGGGCTACTTCCATGTCTGGCTGCCAATGGCTGTGTCTGGCTCTCTGGTAATACCGCTAGCGTCGCGTTTTTCTTTCTACAAATTTCCCTTTTCTCATTTCTCGCTTTCGAATGAAAACAAATTCTGCGGCTTAAGTTGTGGACTGGTTGTCCTTTTCGTATTTGTATTTCCCTTAATTCCCTCCGTCGCCAGCACTCGTTTTTTTCTTCGCTCTCTGTTCCCATAAAAGCAATATTAAAGGACATGAGCGCAAATATTCCAAGTGTAAATATGAAAAGCGCTGAGGGAGTAAAAAAAAAAGGAAAAACTCGATTGCGGCATTAAAAGAAATTGAAAAGCAGTTGTGGGCAAATGAAAAAATATGACGGCCGCTCAATGATTAAAATAGAGGAGAACTTAAAGACAAAGAAGAAAAGATTGTAATAGGGATGTGACTATTTGTGATCATACAAATCGAATGCTATGAAAGGCTATGTGAAGATGATTTTGGAATAAACTTTTGATTAAATTGATGATCCTTTGCTCGTATTCAATGCGTATAAATATTATTTTCATGCTACTACTATATTTTTAAAGCATTGATTTTTTGTCGGCTTTTCCTCTCATATCCCGGAGCACTCTCATTCTCGCTTCACGCTCTTAAAATTTCACATAAAAGTGAAGGAAACACAGCGAAAATCTCATTTTCAGCACAATTTTCACATTGCAACACAAATTAATTTCCTTTGAGATTTGCATTTTGCGCAACTTTATCGAGAGTCCTGTGACTGGCGAGTGGCGTCCTTGCTGCAGTAACGTTTATGTCTACTAGTCCCCCGTCTCCCCGCAGAAAGGACCCCCAACAGAAAGGTCGCAAAAGTATGAAATGTCACTTTACAGTTAAAATGTCCAGAAAATTATCAAGTTTAACATTTTGTTGCTTCCCCGTCCTGCAGCGAGAGATAGGAAATATAGTTGCCCCGCCCCGTTTGCCTGCTTGGGTGGGTCTCGGCTGCCACAGACGGCAACTTATAATGAAGTCCGCCAGGACTCTGCGACCCTCCCAGTCAGTCAGTCAGTTATTTTAATGCAATTAGGTTGGCAATTGCAGAAGAGTGTGCAAATGTGTGGTAGATGTTGGTCCCACAAAAACCAGCAAGCGATTTTTGAGCATGTTCTCGCTGGCAAAAGAAAACCCTGATAGCAGGCAGCAAAAACTTTTAATTAGCCGACAAGTTAATATCGTGCATACGCAACGTTGAACCGATGAGCAGCACACGAATAAAAGTACGCGTGCTCAATGCAAAGGAATACTCAGAAACAACATCCACAACCAAAATTTAACAATTTTTATTTAGCAGATGATAAAAAGGTGATTTCGAATTTGCTAGCGAATTGGTAACGTGAACATTATTTAAAATGGAAGCAATATTGGATTTGTCTTCTGTTCAAGTTTAAGGCTAGCACTTGGAAAGGAACTCGAAGGATCTGAATAAGTTTACACTCTGTGTCTAATTCACTCTAATCAGCGCTATCAATTTACGTTTAAATAATTCCACCTCACATCTATATGTTGAGAGAGCATCACTCTGCTCACCTCTTGTTACGAGTACTCGTATTGCTGGTATCCCCCCGGTAATATCATTAAAAAAATCATAATTATATGCATAAGCTTATGCAATATATGTATAAGCAGGCAGTTGGGAAGAGGAATGTTGGTCCCCATCCCATACATCCCCGCTACAGAAGGACAATCTGTGCAGATTTTCCTTTTCCTGTTGGCGCAGTTTTGCTTACAAGTTCAACTCCTGTAAATATGCTACGTGTTCCAAACGAACACACAAACAAAAGTTGGTCTTGCCACTGCCCTGACTCCGCCACCGGTGCTCCAGCCGACATAATCACATATATAAATATTGTTTGAATTGTACGTATCGTACAGCATGGGGTCTGTTTGCTGCAGCTTAGATTTTGTAGCACTGTTTTTGCTTTAGTTGGTAATTATAAAAGTTTTGTTTCACTTACCTGTTACTGAGGGGAGCTACCCACAGGCATTGAGTGGCCTTCGAAGCGGAAAACTGAGGCAATTACAAATATTTTTTATGGATAGACAATCATTTTAAAGAATTCTGGATTCGCACTGATCATTAAATTATGTAGCTTCGCAAACGCTTTTAGCCATAGCGTACCAATTGCTCCCCCCTCACACATTTATGTTAACATTATGCTAAAATCAGCTTTTGTTACAATTAAAAAGAGCTTCGCTTCGACTGTTAACCCAACTAAACTGCAGCCAACAAAGCTTTTGAGCTTTTGTGTATGCGTTTTGGATTGGGAATAAACTGTTCGACTGTTCGACGACTATGATCTTATTCGCATAACTAAATTTATGCTTCACATAGCTCGAAGCCTTTTTCGTTGTTTATTTGAAAACAGTCTTACAAAAACCATGTACATGTATGTATGTGCACAAAATGTACATCAGAATATTTAATCGAACTTGAGTAATATTTAAAACATATTTAATAATCCTCAACACTCTTAAAGCATTGTATTAAACCAGTGCGAAACCCCCTACAAAAACACTCTCTCCTTGCATTAAATTCGACTACATATAACATAATAATATCCTAAATAATACCAGCGAAATCAACGAACCAAATAAAATACCGCATCGCAGAGTACACCAACAGCCATGGGATGGGGGCAGGCAGCACGACCGATCTCACCAATCTGACAGTTCTCGGCTGATCGTTGGCGTGATTTGGTTCGGTTTGGCTCCGCGCATCAGAGTTCTGCCAACCACCGTGCTACGCGCTCGTGTGTGTTCTGATTTATTTTTAAGCTACACACAGAAAATATTTTTCTGTACGGGTGAAGGAAATTGAGTTTTCCGTGCTATCGCATATACCCCAGATTTTCAGTAATTTTTCCTTGAGAAATACAGTTTTAAGTGAAAAGAAGTTCCTCTAGGAATACAAGTGCGAAAGAGTTCGAATACAATAATATATTGAAAATATATATATAATTATGTGTGATGAATCTATATTATACAGTGAGCTGGCATACTTAAGCAGCTATATATAAAAATATGTACAAAAATCTGTGTGTAAAATAAATTCAGAGAATAATTCATTATTGAAGAGTGCCATAAAAGCTGTAACCATTCATTCGTTAAATGGCCAAGTCAATGGAAAATATACAACATCCAAAGCAAAAAGAGGAATATATATTGAGCAAAAGAGAAGATATTTCCCAAAAAGTTTAAAAATATCAACGCCACGTATGCTGCCTGTGCCTTTTGGCTCGGATTTTGGTACGCACGACCGCCCCGCCACATGAACATCGTGGCGTGTTTTTTTGTATTGTTGCCACGCGAAGGAGACACAGAGGGATCAGCGTGTAAGTGCAATTTTGAACAAGCTGCCCCGCCATTTACTTGATCGGGCAGATGCTATATAAGAAAGTAGTGACCTTTTTTTTTTTGTTCGCTTATAATTGGAATTTTAAGTGTTCCATGCTGATCAAACTCTGGCGGTGCATATTTCGGTGTGTGCACATTAAACCAATTCTTATTCAGATAAAAAGCAATACAATTAGGCTAAATTTAATTTCATTGTCTGCTGATCGTTTTTGTTGCTGCTGCTTTTCGAATTGGGGGCTACAATGAGAACAACAAGCGCAATAACAACACTGCCGCATCGACAGATCCAACTACGTGTGCTTGTTCTATATTTAGGCGCCGAAAACATCTTCTGGCCCAACGAAAATGACCGACGAACCGACTCCGAACACCGATCCTACAATAAATTTGCCCCTCAGTCCACTTTCCACTTCGGCAGCAGTTTTTTTCCCTCTGACGCTTTTCTGTTGTTTTTCATAATATT